CCCCAAAACCCCAAAACCCCAAAACCCCAAAACCCCATTTTTAGGTTGAGATATTGATGAGATTATATGTTTATACAACAGCATTTTCACCTTCTAAATTATGATACTCTGAGTCGATATTTATTGGTGGGTGGTCTAATTCTTCAGTCATAACAACATCATGGCCGAAACCCATGTGGTAATCTGCTATTTTTACATCAGAAGGGATTCCTTCTTCTTCATTAAGAAGGTTAAAATCATCAATAACGAGTCTCTTCTTCTCTCTATAAAAGAATCCTCCCCAGAACCAGACCTCTCCGTTTTCAAGGAAGGCTCAGCTTCTAAGGTTGCTTGCCTTTATTCTCTCAATTTTAGAATCTGAAGGGAGGGAGATCTCATGTAGATAATTCACAATTCCAGTGGAATGCTTAGAAGTGACTTGTCCAACAAGATTTGACCCAAATACGAACAATCTTCCTTCATCATTAAGGAGCATAGAGTGATGGTTTCCCACCTCGATCTGTTTGATTTTCATTCCATCTAGGAATATCTCTGTTGGATGAGTAGCTTTATTCAGAATGTTATTTGATTGTCAAAGTTGACCATAAATGTTACTTCCAAGTCCGTAAACTCTGCCTCTATCGGAGAGAAACAAGGAATGAAATTTCCCTGCTTTCGCTTGAATTATAGGCTCATTCCCAGCATGAGAAGCTTCTTTTTTATCCATTGTAGGATTAAAGCCTCTGATAGGGAAGGGATCACCAAAAGAATTAGTGATTTCACCACTCTCATCATTTAATTTCTTCTCTTCTCCACATTGGTATCTATCATTTTTGCCAATACCAAAAACAGTGCCGTCTGCGCTGAGTGCAAGTGCATGCTGGAACCCTCAGCTGACATCAATGATCGCATCATCAAGCAGAGACTGGACGATCAGAGGTGTGTCTCTATGTACATTATCATTCTGGCCAAGCTGGCCTGCGTAGTTATCACCCCACATATATAGCTTATTTTTGTTATCGACGACTGCTACATAACCTCATCCAACATCTATGTGGTGATGGAGAAACTTACCGATACTCTTGATAGAATCAACAGAAAATTCAGCCTCAATCACGGGCTCCTGGATTGCAGCCTTGAAAAAAGGAGCGTAATTCTGCCAAAGCCTCATGAAGCTAGGCAACTTGTGGTATATTTCAAGTACTTTATAGGTTGTCTTTGTGCAAAGAGGCCATCCCCAGAAAATCAACGATTTATTATTGATAACAGCATAATTCTGGCTATGGTCGCACACTAGATCAAAATCCCCAACATCACTTACCTAAATGAGTAATGTTCATATCCTGGAGTAAATCCACTGGTCTGAACTCTTCACAGTTCTAAAATAGCTGAAACCCTGAAACTACCTGAAGCTTGCTCCTGATTCCGAGCTGACCCTGGATGTTAAGGCCTCTTGTGAGAATACTTCTCTTCTTAACTGCTTGCCGAGTGATTGTGGACATTAAATTATTTCAATAATTTATCAAATCTTTGGGGTTTTGGGGTTTTGGGGTTTTGGGGTTTTGGGG